GCCGCAAGCGCCGCCAGCGCCGCTGCCGCTTGCGCCGCAGCCGCTTGCGCCGCAGCCAAAACCGCCCTTCGAGCCCTACTGCATCACCAAACTGCTGAGGACGAAGGGCATCCCGATCAACAACACTTTGCCTGAGGCAATGAGCGGCATGCCGGAGGGCGACATCTACGCGACGTGGACGTGGAGGCGCAGTGGTGGGTATGTGATGGTGCCCGGAGGCACGGAGGTGGAGTGTGGCAGCTACCTCGGCGAGAATTACCGCGCGCGTCGAGGCGTGTTCTGTCGGCTGCCGCAGGTCGCCGGGTCGGACCCGGCGTGGGCGAACGCTGTCTTTCTCTGGCCAACCAGCGCCCTCGAGGAGCCGCCACAGAGATGGCCGCCCAAGGTGGACGAGCTTCGTCCAGGGAGCAGGGCAGACGCCGGTGCTTTCGATGCGCTGCGCGCCGCAGGAAGCACTGCGGTGGCAGCAGCAGAGGCCGTTGAGGCCATCCTGGAACAACAGCGTGCCTGCGCTGCAGCGGCGCGCGTGCCGGTGCGCGCGATGCTGCGCCTGCAGAGTGAGGGCAGTGCCGCGGCCTGTACGGCTGAGCTGCTCGCACGCGTTCGAGCTGCAAGGGATGCCTCCCGCCTCCGACACCAAGGTCCCTCTCCTTTGGCGAGGCTGCTGTTGCGCTTGGGGTGAGGGCGGCGAGGCGGAGCGAGGGTCGGAGACGCAATTTGGCGGTGTACACCCCGTACGAGCACGACGAGCCCTGCTCCCTCTCCTCGAGCCGGACGGCGTCCTCCTTCGAGGTGGCCTCGCCCGCGCCGCGGGCGCGAACCAGGACCGCCTCCATCAGCTGCAGACCATCCGCAAAAACTTCCCCTCCCATGGAGCCCGAGTGGCTTCGCGACGCGGAGGAGGCGGTCTCTTTCGGCTCGCCTGGCCCGAGCTGCGGAGCGGATCCGCCGCCAGCGACCGCCGCGCGCCCAGTGGGTCGTCGCTACGGGGCTCGTGGCGCTTGCTGTGAGAACGAGCCAGCACTCGCACACGCGCAGCGCAGCGGGAGAGCTGCTTTTATTTTACGACCTCGATATGATATTTCGAGCGCGCGTCGTCTCTCCGCGCCACAGGAGGTGTGGAGAGCCCCCTCCTCCCGGCGCAGCGGCTCGTGTAGCACGTAGAGCATCAGGTGTGGCGTGCACTGGTAGCCGCTCTTCTCTCCGGCGGCAATGACGTCGTGGCGGAGCTGGAGCTCGTAGAGCGGCAGCGCCTGCCACAAGGAGCAGCCGTGAGTCAAAACGCAGTGAGCTGTGAAGGCCCAGCTCGTAGAGCGACGGCGCCTATGCAAGGAGCAGGTGTGACTCAAAAGAAGAGACAGAGCGGGTGCCCCTCATAGAGCGGTAGCGCCTTGAGCCACTCCGGCGGCGCGCAATCGTGCGTGCCTGGCCGCGCCTCCCCGGCGCGCGCCTTGCCGAGGATCGCCGCGTCGGCGCGGCGAGGCCAGTGAAAGGCGACTCTCCCGCCATTGGGCGCCTACATACAAAGGAAATACCCGTCGCCCCACCCCG